AGAGAGAGAGAGAGAGAGAGAGAGAGAGAGAGAGAGAGAGAGAATGTGCCCCGGCATATGTGTGACGGTCAGAGGACAACTTTTTGGGAATCACTCCTCTGTACATGGTCTTCTGGCTGATTCTCCTGCCTCTGTCACCATCTTTCTGTAGGAATACTGAGATTATAGATGCATGTAACTGTATCTGTTTTTTTTACTCAGTTCTGGGGATTAAAGTCAAGTCATCAAGGTTGTACAACAACCTGAACCATCTTGCTGTCTTTATGTGATAATTTTTTCATTTGCATGATAAAGTAATCATTCATTGAAATAAAAATATAAACAATAACAACAATGTTTTTTCCTACTTGCTGCAATGTATAAAGTTCATGAATATTATTTTAAATATTGGTTGCAAGTATTATATACTAAAAATAATTATTAAAGGAACAGCTGAAAACCAAACTCAAATCCATGTTATTGTGCTTTTATTTTCAATCATTATTGATTTTAAAAATTCAATGGCTGTGGAATAGTTATTCTATGAAAAAAGAAATGTGTTCATATGCATATTTATCTATCAGTATCATGTATGTCATGTTCATGATATAGGATTAGCTATTAAAGCAAGAAATATCTGTGATGAGTTACTAATACCTTAACAACAGAACCTTGTCATGTTATATTGAAATGCATTTCTTACAAATGGAAATTTTCTTTTTTAAATATTTATTTTATGTGTATGAGTATTTTGCCTGCATGTAGGTAGGTGCACTTGTGTTGTGCAATGCCTGTGGAGGAGAGAAGGGGGTGAGGTCTGAACTGGAATTATGGACTGTTGTTAGCTGCTATGGGGGTGCTGGGAATCGAACTCAGGTCCTCTGCAAGAGCAGCCAGCGCTCTTAACTGCTGAGCCATCACTCCAGCCCCACAAACAGAACTTTAAGTTTAGATTTGAAGGCCTAAGGAATGTTTCAGTAATTATTTAGGAGTTGCACAAAAGGGGCGATGTTCACCAGGCATGGTGGCCTAGCCTTTAATTTCAGCCCTCAGGAGGCGGAAGTAGGCAGATCTCTATGAGATCGAGGTCAGCCTGGTCTTCATAGTGGGTACCAGGCTGGCTGGGGCTAGGGAGACCCTGAAAAAAGGGGGGCCGTGATGTGTTGCCTGGCTTGCATCTAGTTGGCTGAGAAGTAGAAGATGGGCAGGGTAGATGGCAGGGACAACATAAGCTGGGTTTGTAGGGAATAATTTGGGCCAATAAACTAGAGCTAAACACGACAGATCAGATAAGAAAAGTTGCAAAAATTAAGAAGCTTGGATTTGGCTCTATAGATGACAGGAAACATTTCAGGGTTGTGAGGAGGTAAGTCACAGGATCTGGCGTGACAATTTTGGGATAAAAAAACAGTTTTTTTTTTTTTCTGGCACTTATTTATTGTGTGTGTCATGGCGCATGTATGAAGGTCAGAGGATAATCTGTGGGAGTGTGGGAGTTAGTTCTCTCCTTCTGCCTTGTGGATTCTGGGGATTTGAGCTTAGGTTATCAGGCTTAGCAGCAAAACACCTTTCCTTGCCAAGCCATCTTGGTGGCACAGTTCTAGACTCTTTAAAAGGTAATTATGTCCTTAAACACTGTATGAAGAGTTATAGGAGATAATATGGCAGAGAGACCAGGCAGGAAGCCTCTCAGTCCTTCAGGCCTGGGAGGATGAGGTTCCTGACCTGACCATGAGCTAGAGACTGGGAATATGATGGGCAAAAGCCTAACACAACTTGTGGGACTGTGACAGATTGGATGGGAGGGTAGGGCTGTAAGCCTCCAGGTTTCTAGCATGAGTGAAGAAGATCAGGAACGCAGGCAGAAGAGCAGCTTTGTAGAAGATGCAGGAAGGTTGAACTACTCAGTTTTGAAATGTTCATTTGAGATGCTGTAAGAAATGTGAATTATTTGATTCTTGGGTTTGAAGTGACGGAGAGTGGTGTGGTCTGGATTTTATCTTTTTTTTTTTTTTCATGTCAGGCGGGTAATGTGCCAATTCGTAACAGGGTCTGAGGGTGGCACATGTCAGGCAACCCAATCTTTACACGTATGAACCAAAAATGGTTTATGTGGTTTGTATTTTAAACAGAGCCAAAGGACTCACCAACCTTGAGGTAATAAAGTATGGGAGAGACAGATTATTTTGGGAAGACTATTGAATAAGTAAAGTAGTGAGTTTTTAAATGATATTATTAGAGGTATTTAGGTAATATTTCTTCCATTCAACAGATGAGGAAGTTGATACAGGGCACTATGGATATTTTGGGATTTGTCTTTGTAGTCTTTATAATTAGGGAGAGGAGCCTAGAACTTGAAAGTAGACCTTCTGAACTAAGTTAGTGTTCTTTTCATCTTAAAAAATAGCTATTATTTTATTTTAAAAATTGTGTTTATGATTACTTTTAGTGATGCGAGTGTGTGTGTGTGTGTGTGTGTGTGTGTGTGTGTGTGTGTGTGTGCCACAGTGCCTGTGTGGAGGTCAAAAGACAACTTCGTGGAGTTGGTTCCCTCTACATGGGTTCTGGGACTTGAAATCAAGTTGATAGCCTTGTGCAGCAACTGCTTTGAAGCTGCTGAGGCATCTCACTGTGGCAGTCCGTTATTTATCATTTTTCTCTCAAAATAAAATGACCAATTTAAGTGGAAATTTGGAGAAACTTTGTTTTGAAATGCCTCTGAAGAAAAACAAATCCATTAGTAATATGGTTTATCTTTTTGTCTGAACAACAAAAAAAACCAGATATCAGTTACTTTATATATTTATATGTAACAGGATGGGAGCTATAATTTATTATATCACAACATTCTTTGATTCTAAGTCCAAGGTAGGTTAATATAAAACTTTAGATCTTTGTGAATGATTAACAGGCAAAACTTGTTTATACACTCTTTAAGAAAACATAAGAAGCCAAGTTGTGGTGGTGCACACTTTTAATTCCAGTACTCTGGAGGCAGAGGTGGATCTCTGTGAGACTGAGGCCAGCCTGGTCTACACAGCAAATTCTAGGCCAGCTGGGGGCTACAGGGAGACTGTCTCAAAAACAAACCAAGCAAACCAACAACAAAAAAGAGCATAAGAACTTCAGGCACAGAAACAGACACTGAGCGCTGGATGTTCCCACACTTGTGTAATAAACAGCATTGTTAGTGCCTGTTTTCATTATTTGCCTTAGAGACAAGTAACAAAGCTTCCACCATGTTTGGAAATCAGTGAATTCAATGGATTAAGCTTTATTGGCTGCTTAATCACTTAGTCATTGTTATACCTTTGTTGATAACTTGTCATTTTATATATTTGTTTTCCTTAGAAACTGACTTACATAAAGGAAACCACAAGCATGTAAGTCTGTCTTTTCCCCTAAATTTATGTCAATATATATTTATGTTTGGCATTATAGATGTGTCTACCTTCTCCAAGACTTACCCCAGTGTCATGATTCTTTTTCTGTTTTCTTTCAGTTCCTGTAAGGACCAACCCTCTGGGTAAGTCCCAATCTCCTTATCTTAAAAAAAATTTAATTATTATTTTATTTTATGTGTATGCATGTATTGCCTGCATGTAGGTAAGTGCACCCGTGTTGTTGCAATGCCTGTGGAGGTCAGAAGAGGCTGTCGGATCCCCTGGGATTGGAGTTATGGACAGTTGTTAGCTGCCATGTAGGTGCTGGGATTCAAACCTGGGTCTTCTGTAAGAAAAACCAGTGTTTTTAACCGCTGAGCCATCTCTCCAGTCCCAGTCTCCTTATCTTAAGGCCTTCTCAGAACACCACCATAGAATTTATAGCCTATATTAAACCCCATTCACCCATGGCTCAGGAACCATTGTGGAAAAGGGGGCAAAAAGCTTAAAAGAGCCAGGGTTGGTGCCTGAACATATGGAAACAGTGGCTTTCAGGGCTCTGGGAACTTGCTCATATGAACTTGCAACAACAGTGACAGCATGCACAAGACCCATGCTGACTCAATGAGACAAAAACCCAACACAGAACTGGGTTCCAACCCTAGTTGAGGAACTATTGGCAACTGATTATTGTGGGATGAAGAAAAGTAGATCTTCTTTAAGGGAGTGACTCTAGATAGGTTGACTAGGCTTCAATGGATGAACTTGTACCAAAGAATATCTGGGTACAAATGCTTGACTGGATAGAACTTAACATAGATGACAGAATGCATGAAATACAGGGTGTGTGTGTGGGGGGGCATATGGGGTAAGTTGGATGGGGAGTGGGGTCTAAATTTGATTAAGATCTATTATATGACATGCACAAAAACTCAATAAAATATTTTTAAAAATCAGGGTTGGAGAGATGGCTCAGTTATTTAAGAGCACTGACTGCTCTTACAGAAGACCTGGGTTTGGTTCCCAGTACCCATATAGTGGCGCAAAACCTACTGCAGTTCCAGGGGATCCAGTGCCCTGTTCTGGATTCTGTGGACACTGCATGCACGTGGTGCATGTTCATGAAGGCAAAACACTCATATACATAAAATAAAATAAGATAAGATGTAGCTGGGTGTGGTGGCACATACCTTTAATCCCAATACTCTGGAGGCAAAGGCAGGTGGATCTCTGTGAGACAGAGGTCAGCCTGGGGTACATAGTGAGTTACAGCTACCTGGGGCTTCAGGGACACCCTGTCTCACCCCCACCCCGATGAATCTGTCAGTATGAGTCTTTAGGCATAGGGCTGTTTTCTAGGCAGTAGTAGTATAAAGCGGGCTGCGAAAGTAGTGACTAAAGATTGAATTCTGTCTAGCCTCAGACTATCCAGCATACAGTTGATTATATAGGAAATCACCAGTAGGTTGAAAAATTAAGTAAATAAGCCAGTGTTCAGAACTGCAGCTTGTACAACAGAATCAAGACATAGTTGAAATATATATGCAGGAGATTTCAAAGAACCTGAGTGACTAGGAAGAGAATGGAGCCTCATGGTCTTAGTCATTCATGCTGCTCAAGGTACCACTGAGTCTGTGCTAGGGTGTGGGATTGGGCACTACTTAGATGTGGGGTCATGTGGTCTCTTTGGGTGTGGCTTTACTACTGACAGAGTTCAGAGGTTATTTGTGAATGCCACTTCAGCAAGCAGTGACTATGCTGGGGCCCTTCCAGTCCTGAAAATTTTCACACTTGTATGAACAGCATGTGGGAAGAGCTGCGCTGGTCAGGTAATGGGCAGATTTGAATGGAGGTTTGAAATGATGAGGAACTTGAAGGAACTGGCCTATTCTGAAATCTCCAGTCCAGTTACTTCAGGGTTCTCTAAGATACTTGTCCCCTTCGCTTATGATTAGAAAATGCTCCAAGCACTGTAAGGCAAGAATACAGGAGGAGATGGAGCAGGGTGTCCATTGTTCTGCCCATCAAGAGTGTTTTGATGAAGTGTTCCACACTGTGATGATGAAGAGGATGTTTGGTTGATGTTTAACTCTTTCCTGTGGAGTGGTGGTACTGATCTCTTTTTGGCCTAAATATTTGTTTATAAGCAGATGGCCTTGTTCGTTTATGAAGTTTTAGGCCAGAAGTTTGCAACGCTGGCTTAATAGATTTACAATATGGCCTGGACATGGGGAATTTTAAATCTTCAGGTGATTCTTATGAGCAGTTGATGTTGAAAACAGTGAGTCTCAGCATCGAAAGGTTTCTGATGAGCAAATAGTGTAACAAAGAAGGGCAAACATGCACGTACAAAGAAGTGTTCACTTGGAACAGAAGTTGGACTGTGTCGAGAAACTGCTGAGAGGGTTGTCATATGCTAGCATGTTTATTGCAAATGGAAAGATCAGTGTATAAATATTAAAATGGAATGTTTTCCTCTATCTAATGTTCTTTTTAACATGTAATATTTTTATTAATTTGAGAATTTCATACATGGATAAAATGTATCTTTGTCATATTCACCCTCAACTCCCCCAAATTCTTGTCTAATGTTCTTCAGAGGGAGTGGAATAGCTTTCAGCATGTTAAAGGTTTATATTTTTGCTGGGCGATGAGGCAGAGGCAGGCAGATCTTTATGAGATCTAGGTCAGTCTAGTCTACATAGTGAGTTCCAGGCCCGCTGGGGCTATAGGGAAAGCCTGTCTGAACCCCCAAAACCCACTCCCAAATTTATATTTTCTATGCTCCTATAAAAGATTATTTGAAGAAAATGCTTTTTGATATTTTCAGAATTCTTACCATGGAGGTGAGAAGTGGGTCCTGTGTGATTGTGGTTGGTTCTGTGCTCTACACATTCAGTGAACACAGAGGGGGAATCTGCTATGCCTTGTGCTGTGCTCTATCACAGATGTAGGCAGGGTTGTCCTTGGGAAAACTGGCAGTATTCTTGGGCAAATAGTGCACCAGTAGAGGGACGGCAGAATAATTCCCTGACCCTATCATCAACCATCAACATATCAGTGTGTATCAACATAGTGTTTTATATTTTGTAGAGCCCCCCCATTTAGTCCCTGTGAAATAGTATACACAATAGTTGTCTGTAGTTCAGAAAACTTGTGGAATGTTTTCAAAACCTGTTTTTAGCTAGTTGGGTGTCTGTAATCGTAGCACTTTGGAGGTGGAGGCAAGAGGATCAGGAGTTCAAGGTGAGCTTCAGTGATCTATAGCATTTCAGGCCAGCCTGTCTCAAAAATAAACGAAAACCAATAACAAAACTAGAGAATTAAAACCCAACAATCTCTTCCCTCTTTTTTTTGCTTATTTATTGAGATAGAATCTTACTCTTTGGTTTCTGGTTTGCCAAGAACTTGCTATGTAGCTCAAGCAGGCCTTGAACTTGTATTAATCCTCCTGCCTCTGCTTCTCAGGAGCTGGAATTATAGATGTGAACCACCACGCCTGACCCAAATTCCTGTTATAGAAAACTGTAGCTATCAAAATAGTTAGCGACTCTGGGGTACTCTAGCAATGTCAGGAAAATGCTTGCTGACTAGTTTGGTAGTATAAACATTTTATGGGTTGGATTTCATTAGAAAATACCCCTAAATTCAGTAATCATTATATTTTTAAAATTTATTTGTTCTTCCACAAAATAATACCTATATATAATATCCACTTTGATCATGTTTCCCCCATTATCGTCTCTTGTCCCTTTCCCCTTTCCACCAAATTCCCTCATCTTCCCGACAAGTCCCCCTTCCTACTTTCATGTCTTTGTTTTGGTGGTTTATTACATTTAATTAGGGTTGCCTTCATGAACATTGGTGGGGGGTTATTTACTTGAGCATTGGCAGCTTACAGGTGGCTATACCATTGAAGTAATATGACTTCCTCTCTCCCAACAACCACTAACTGCCTATAGTGCCTTGGTGAGACGTGAGACTTTATGAGCCCAACCCTGATCCATGATGGAATGCTGTTGGACCTATTCTTGTGCAGGTCCACACTGGTGTTGTGAGTTCATGAGTACAATAGCCATGTTGTTTCCAGAAGACAGCATTTCACAGCATTTCTTTCCGTCTTCTGGCTCTTACATTCTTTTGACCTCCTCTTCTTCAATGTTCCTGAGCTTTGGAGGCAGTGATACTAATGTCCCATTTAGGGATGATTATTCAACAGTCGCTTATTCTCAACACTTTGACCCTTGAATCTCAGTAGTAACTTTTCTCATTGCAATCAGAAACTTCTGTGATCAAGGTTGAGAGCAGCACTAACCTGTGGGTATAAACATAAATATTTAGAAGGCAATTTGACACCATGTCCATTTAGCAAACCAAGAGGAGATGGTTCCCTCCTAGAGCCCGTGACTTGCACTACATGGGCTTTGGACAAGGTTTGCAGTATCTGCTATGGATTCCTCCTGTGGAATGGACCTCAAACCCAATCAGAAAGTGGTTGGTTACCCATATGACAGTCATATCACTATTGTATCAGTGGGCATATCTTGCCTGGCAGGTTGGCATTGTAGACTTAAGGGTCTACTGCTGGGTGAGACCATTAATGGGACTTTCTCCCCCAGCAACCTTCATAGCACCTTCTAGCACTATAAATGATTCTATTTTTTAGTTTTTATTGAGCTTTTGTTATTTTATGACAGCTCTTAATCATTTTTATACCCTTTTCCCCTGTCATTGTCCTCCCATCCCCCGACAAAAATCTTTTCTTGAAAAAAATTATGAAAAATCTCAGACAAGCAGCACCATCTGCTCTGACTCTCACCCAGAGATGATGGTGAGCACAGTAAGTGGATAGTTCTGGGGATGCTTGAACTCTCATAACTAGGACAAGTCACTTCACTGGTGTTCTTTCTTGCGGTGCTGGGGGTGGATCCCTAGCACTCATACATGCTAGGCAAGTGCTCTACCACTGGGCTACACCTCTAGTTTATTTCACTTTTTTAAGGAAACTTTGATCCAGATGGGACACTTTGCTAGACATCCGTGAATGTTGTTTGTTGCCTTACTGTGCTGTGGAAAACCAGAACTAAGTCCTTCCGTGTTTTGGTGGCCTTTATCAGGCTTCTTTTCTTCCTTGCTGTATTCC